GCGCAAGATGTGCAAGGTACATAAAAGGCACATGGAAGGCGTTCGTGTGTAGGGTGGGGGGAGGCGGCAGGGAGGGGAGGTGAAGCGGTGCACCATGGACATGTGGTGCCGCATGCTGCATGTCTGTGTAATGCACACACGCCTCTTCATGCATCACCCACCCGCCGTTGCTGCGCAAGATGTGCAAGGTACATAAAAGGCACATGGAAGGCGTTCGTGTGTAGGGTGGGGGGAGGCGGCAGGGAGGGGAGGTGAAGCGGTGCACCATGGACATGTGGTGCCGCATGCTGCATGTCTGTGTAATGCACACACGCCTCTTCATGCATCACCCACCCGCCGTTGCTGCGCAAGATGTGCAAGGTACATAAAAGGCACATGGAAGGCGTTCGTGTGTAGGGTGGGGGGAGGCGGCAGGGAGGGGAGGTGAAGCGGTGCACCATGGACATGTGGTGCCGCATGCTGCATGTCTGTGTAATGCACACACGCCTCTTCATGCATCACCCACCCGCCGTTGCTGCGCAAGATGTGCAAGGTACATAAAAGGCACATGGAAGGCGTTCGTGTGTAGGGTGGGGGGAGGCGGCAGGGAGGGGAGGTGAAGCGGTGCACCATGGACATGTGGTGCCGCATGCTGCATGTCTGTGTAATGCACACACGCCTCTTCATGCATCACCCACCCGCCGTTGCTGCGCAAGATGTGCAAGGTACATAAAAGGCACATGGAAGGCGTTCGTGTGTAGGGTGGGGGGAGGCGGCAGGGAGGGGAGGTGAAGCGGTGCACCATGGACATGTGGTGCCGCATGCTGCATGTCTGTGTAATGCACACACGCCTCTTCATGCATCACCCACCCGCCGTTGCTGCCATGCCAAGCCACCCGCCGGCATAGAGGGGGGAATGGAGTGGAGAGTTAGGGGGAGAAGATGGGTAGGGAGGTGTGGTGAGGACACGTGGTAGTGGGCGCAGCAGGTAGGTGTGGTGGTGGTGGGCGTGCAAGGGGGCCAGAGGGAGGGGAAGGGGAGGAGAGGAGCAAGAATAGAGGGGGTAAAGGAGGGATGGCATGGCAGGGGATGGAGAAAGGAGGGTTGGAACGGAGAGAAGGGGTGCGTGCGTGCGATCATGGAGGGCAGGGCAGGGCAAGGCAGGGCAGGGCAGGGCAGAAAGACGGACGTGAAGAGGAGCTGATTGTTGGCGACGAGGGTCTTGACTCGTGCGCGCATGTAGTCCGACTGCTGCTGCCACCAGCGGTAGAAGAAACCCTGTGCGCCAGCCATGCACCACACCACACACACACACGCACGCACGCACACGTGCACATGTGCGCTCGCACGCACACACACACAGCGCACGCGCACGCGCGCGCTCGCACACACACACACACGCACACACACACGCACGGGCACACACACACGCGCGCACAGACGCACACGTGCTTTCGCTGCTCTGTGCTCATGCGTCGATTTTGCGTAGCGGAGAACAAGTGAGGTAGGGTAGCCATGTGGGTGGCTGACTGCTCTCTGACTGTGTGGTGTGACTCGTGCCCATCAGTTAGTGTGTGCGTGTCTGCCAGTGTGTGTGCATGCGTGCGTGCGTGCGTGCGTGCGTGTGTGCGTGCGTGCGTGCGTGCGTGCGTGCGTGCGCGCGTGTGGGTGAGTCCTTCGTTATAATCCTCAAAAGCTAAAAACCAAGAGCAGCAGCAGCACGCAGGTGCGCGGGAGAGAGCGCACCTGTTCCACCTGCACGAACTTGCGGTGTGGGTTCACCTCCAGGTTCGCCACCACCGAGTCTATGATGCTCGCCACCTTCTCCGCCTGTGCGCAGGGGAGGGGAAGGCGGCACCCGCCGGGGGGGAAACGGGGAAGGGGGTGAGGAAGAAGGGAGGGGAAGGAAGGGGGGGAATAGAGGGGAGAGGAAGAGGAAAAGGGGGAAAGGAGAGGGAGGGGGTGTGAAAGGGCGGTGGTAAATGTGCTGGTTCGAAATCGCCATCACGTTCATCTCAGGAATCGCATCGCGCCTCCCGGGTATGCCACCTGCGCAGAAATAATAAAACAAATATATAAGAACGAAGAGCGGGTGAGAGGGTGAGCCATGGCAGAGGGTGAGGGGAGAGGGGAGAGGGTGAGAGGGGAGAGGGTGAGTGCGGGGGGGGGTTAGCGAAGAGCGGCAGGCGCAGCACCGCGATAGTAGTTAGGCTAGCAGTACCCCAACTAATGCGACAAATGGAACCCGTTGCGTCGAGTCGCATGCGTCGTCAGCCCACACGTTCACGTGCGTCAAATCGCGGAGCACACCTGCCCAGCAACTGCCATCGCGGCAAGGTCACCAGAAAGCGTCGCTTTTCGCGGAACGCCGCTGCGAGCATCGTCCGCGTTCGGTTCGGCGGGACGTCCGGCAAGCCTTGGAATTGACTGGAGGGATGGAGTCCGCACAACCGTCGACTCGGCGGTGATAGCGCGGCGCGGGGCGTCACGTGGTAATGAGGTGGAGAAATTATGGCACTGTGACTGCCTCGATAATCGTCACGTATAGTGAGTGAATAAATTATCTCTGGCCGGAAAGCTTCTCGTTTTTAAGCTGTCTCGCAGAAAAAAAATAGCCTACTAAAGACCGCGGTTCGTGGCGCTCAAGCTACTTGATGCGGTACCGTCCGCAATTCCCGGCGGCGGCGCGGCGCGCACATAGTACTGATCGACGGTCGAGAGCCACCCCATATCGTCGTGCGAGTGCGCCACGATGTGCACGTTAAGCTTGCCCTCCGACACTCCCGCGCTCGTGTTGTACCCCACGTGACGCGCCGCCATCAGCCCTGGCAACACGTCGCCCCCGCCATTCCACCCCCCACGAGCCACGTCCAGACCGCCTTTTTCCGCCGCCGCGTCCTCCGCCGCATGCGCGGAATTGTCTCCGTTGCTGTCGTTGTAGTAGTTGCGGAAGAATGCGGCGGGCGGCGTGCCGCCGAAACCGCCGGCTACGGTGGAGGTGAGGTGCTGGTGGACGAATAGGAGAACGACACCTGTCACAACGCCGATTACGAACGTGGGGGCGTGAAAAGTAACGCGTGTCTGCCACTGCGCGGCGGACAACGGGGCAGTCATTTGTAGTACCGCTGCTGGCGCTAATGCGACTATTTATTTACAACTCATCAACTGCGATGGTATGACGGTGAATCATAAAGGATTGCCTCGGCTAGGACAGTTGAACAAAACCTGAAATGGGAATACTGACGACAATCAAGCTTCATGTCTCAGTCTGGTCTGGACCGAAAGCAAAGGTGGCTCTGTTTTCTTGACGGGTCGCGGACGACAGGTCCAGACCTGAGCCCCCCAACTGTTCCGAAAATGCAGCTCAGAAATGGTGATCCGTACAGAAAATATCTGGAATGCCGGGTGCATCGTTGTGAACTGCGAAGACGAAAAATCGGGACGGGATGCTGTTGCAAAAAGCGAAACCTTGCATTCTGTTACGAGTGCAATTGAGTGAACGAACGAGAATTGCACTATCGAAGCAAGAGTCCAATGAGCGAAGGCATGAGCGAAGAATATATAGCGAAACTACAGTGGTAACAGTAATGGACTGTGGTTGTCGCGCGACGGGCCTGGGACTGAGGTTGGGAAAAAGTGTCGAAGCGGAGGCCCGGAGCGCGGGTTACCCGCCGAGCCGTGAGGTCGGGGTGCGATGTGCGAAGGTGGCGGGCGGATTGTCGATGCGAGGGTTGCGAGTGGTAACGGTGCTGACTGTGGTGCTACAGTGATGTACGTGTTGAGCAGGGATGCGAAGTAAGGAAAAGGAATTTTCCTTACACTACCCCCCCTCCTAAGGAGGTCCTCCTTACGAAAGTGCGTGTACATCCCTGAAATTTCGGCTCCGCAGATACTCGGTGAGGACGGGGTGGTTTTCGATTCTGTCCAGGGGAACCCAATTGTCTTCGGTGGGTGTACGGTCCTTCCAGCGGAGTAAGAACTCGATCCTTCGGGCTCCTCGAGGGTCGCGAACTCTGTGACTCAGGATTTTCTCGGGGGTGACGATTGGTTCGGTTGGTGGTCTTGTCATGCTGGCTGGGCGATTGCGTGGCAGTTGGCTTGTGGACGGGACGTAAGGGCGAAGTAGGCTGACGTGGAATGAGGGGCTGACGTACCAGTCAGCAGGGAGGAGGAGGTGGGCGGTGACGGGTGTAAGCATGTGGCTTATGCGAAATGGCCCGCAGTATTGGGGGCGGAGTTTCGGGGTGATGGGCAGTCGGAGGTTCTGAGTGTCAAGTAAAACTAAGTCATCGGGCTGGTAAGTGACAGGTCTGCGGTGGCGGTCGGCGTTGCGTTTAGCGATGATGTTCGATTTTTTTATTGCGTCTACTGCCCGGGTCCGTGCTGCTTGTAATATTTCGGCGAATTGTTGTGCTCGTGGTACTGGGTTGTCGGGATTCGGGGTCATGGGTACTGTCGGGTCTTGTCCGTAGTTTAGGTAAAATGGTGACTGTTGGGTCGTGGCGGATGGCGAGTTGTTGTACGCGAATTCGATTAGTGGCAGTTGCTGTTCCCACGTGGTCGGGTCGTCACACGTGGCCCTGATGAGCTGTTCCATGGTCTGATTTGTCCGTTCTGTCTGTCCGTCGGTTTCGGGGTGGTATGATGTGTCAAACTTATATGATCTAGCCTGTGTAGGCGGTAGCGGGTTAGATACTAAGGGGTACACAATTCTAGGGTTTCATATTTGTATCACTTTCATTCCTTAGTCATTCATCCTCGTTCTAATTTTCACATGTTATCAGAGCAGGTTCCCTAGTGGGAACGCTTCCTAGGGCCCACCACTAAAATTCGATAAAAAAAAGTTTTTCTGCCCGGAGCGCGAGTCGCCCCTGCCCGAGGCGCGCCCCGTGGGTCGCCCTCTCGTCGCGTCGCGCCCTCTTAGAGGCTCCTCTCACGGCCCCTCGCGTCCCCTTAGCGGCCCCGTCGCTGCCCTTAGCGGCCCCGTCGCCGCCCTTAGCGGCCCCGTCGCCGCCCCTCGCGGCCCCGTCGCCGCCCATTGCGGCCCTCTTGCCGCCCTTGCGGCCCCGTCGCCGCCCTCAGCGGCCCCGTAGCCGCCCGCAGCGGCCCCGTCGCCGCCCTCAGCGGCCCCGTCGCCGCCCGCAGCGGCCCCGTCGCCGCCCCTTGCGGCCCCGTCGCCGCCCTCAGCGGCCCCGTAGCCGCCCGCAGCGGCCCCGTCGCCGCCCTCAGCGGCCCCGTCGCCGCCCGCAGCGGCCCTGTCACCGCCCCTCACGGCCCCGTCGCCGTCCACAGCGGCCCTGTCGCCGCCCTTGCGGCCCCGTCGCCGCCCTCAGCGGCCCCGTCGCCGCCCGCAGCGGCCCCGTCGCCGCTCCTTACGGCCCCTCGTGGCCCCTTCGCGGCCCTGACGCCGTCCGTTGCGGCCCCGTCGCCGCCCGCTGCGGCCCCGTCGCCGCCCTTCGCGGTCGTCCGCGGCCCCACTCGGCCCCTCGTGCCCCCCCCCCCCCCCTCGTGGCCCCCCCCCCTCGTGGCCCCCCTCGTGGCCCCTTAGCGGCCTTGTTGCCGCCCTTCGCGGCCCCTCCCGGCCCCTTCCCGGCCCCAGCAGCAGCAGCGGCCTCTTCTGCCGTGCAGCCGCCGCCGCTGCCAACTGCAGCCGCCGCCACTGCCGGCCACCGCTGCCGCCGTCGCCACCGCCGCTGCCGCCCCGGCCCTGCCGCTGCCGCAACAGCCGCCGTCGAGCCGCCGCCGCTGCCGCTGTCGAGCCGCCGCCGCGGTCGAGCCGCCACCGTCGAGCCGCCTCCGTCGAGCCGCCGCCGCTGTCGAGCCGCCGCCGCCGAGCCGCCGCCGCTGTCGAGCCGCCGCCGCCGAGCCGCCGCCGCCGTCGAGCCGCCGCCGCTGTCGAGCTGCCACCGCCGTTGAGCCCCAGCCGCAGCTGGACTCTTCCCTTCTCGCCACTGGTGAGCACTGCCCTGCTGCTACTGCTCTTTCTACTGTTACTGCTGCACCTGGCTTGGCCAGATGCAGCTCCAGCGCCGTCCGCGTGAGTCTCTCACGCCCCAACAGCTTCGTGAGTGGTACGCTAGTTGGGGTTGTAGGGGTAGCCGCGCTGTTACTGCTGCTACTGCGGCTACTACTGCTACTGCTACTTCTGGCGGTGACCAGCTGCAGCTCCAGCGACGTCCGCGTCAGTCCCTCCCGCCCCAGCAGCTTCGTGAGTGGTACGCTAGGTGGGGTTGTCGGGGAGGCCGTAGTGGGAGTCGTCCTGGAGTGAGTAGTTCGGGAGCTTCTTGTCGTGCCCAGGTGCAGCCGCAGCGTCGTCCGCGCGAGACCCTTTCGCCCCAGCAGCTTCGCGAGTGGTACGCGCAGAGTAGAGGGTCACTGAGTACTGCTCGCTGCCAGTACGTCATTCGCACGGGTGTCCGGATTGGTCAGCCTTGCGGGACTCCTGGTCACACAGAGTCCCGCTGCTTCGCCCGATTGAGCGACGCTTGGCGTACAGTGTTTGGCGACGACGCTGAGCTCCCCTCCTGGCTGGAGCTACTTAGGCAGAGGGTAGACATCTTTGCTCTAGACTATGATGCTCTTCTCACTGCAATGTATGCATTGTCTACTAGTGCTGAGGGTGCCTGTCACCTATGTGTGCCGCCTGACCCAGGTATCCAGTCTGCTGCTCTGGGTGCTGGTGAGGCTGCTGCTCTAGGTGCTCGTGCGTCTCCTGCTCCAGGTGTCGGTGAGGCTGCTACTCTCGGTGCTAGTGCGTCTCCTGCTCCAGGTGCTGGTGAGGCTGCTGCTCTAGGTGCTCGTGCGTCTGCTGCTCCAGGTACTGGTGAGTCTGCTGCCCCAGGTGCTAGTGCGTCTGCGCTCTCAGGTACGGCGTCGGCTCCGGCCACCCACACCTTCACCCTTGACTCGGGTGCTTCCCGCTCCTTCTTTCGAGACCGCACCACGCTTACGCCGCTTAGTCGGCCCGTGGCAGTCTCCCTGGCAGACCCCTCTGGGGGTCACCACTTCTCCACTGTTCTACCGTGTCCGGCGGCCCCTTCTGGCACCCTGTCGGGTCTTTACCTCCCCTCGTTCTCTACGAACTTGGTGAGTGGTGCTGACCTCCAGGATGGAGGGGTTCACCAGTTCACTCCTGCGAGTCAGCGACTGACCCACTGTACCTGTGCTCGGACGGGCCGTCACTTGGCCACGTTTACCCGTCAGCCGGGGTCGAGCCTGTACACACTGACTACTGAGTCTCCTCCAGTCGCTGAGTCTGCTCAGGTAGCCGCTTCGGGTCAGGTGTGTGCTGCGGCGTCCAGGTCTGGTCCTGAGTCTGCCCCCTGCTCGTGTCGTCTCCTGTCTCACCAGACTCTCCTCTGGCACCACCGCCTTGGTCACCCCTCCCTGCCTCGTCTTCGAGGCATGGCCTCCCGTGTCCTTGTCTCTGGTCTTCCCCGGTCCCTCCCTCCCCTTCCTCCGGGGCCTGCCCCCACCTGCGTTCCCTGCGTCGAGGGACGGCAGCGCGCTGCTCCTCACTCCTCCGAGTTTCCTCCGACAGAGGCTCCGCTGCAGACGCTTCACATGGACGTGTGGGGCCCAGCCCGAGTCTGTGGACAGGGTCACGAGCGTTACTTCCTGCTGGTGGTTGACGACTACTCGCGTTACACCCCGGTCTTCCCCTTGCGCAGCAAGGGCGAGGTCACTGAGGTGTTGATCGCCTGGATCCGCGCAGCTCGTCTCCAGCTCAGAGAGAGTTTCGGCTCGGACTTTCCTGTTCTGCGTCTGCACTCTGACAGAGGCGGAGAGTTCTCCTCTGACCTTCTGCGAGCCTTCTGTCGTGCACGAGGCATCCGCCAGACCTTCACGCTTCCGGACTCTCCGCAGCAAAATGGGTTTGCTGAGCGCCGCATTGGCATGGTCATGGACGTCGCTCGTACGTCCATGGTCCATGCGGCTGCCCCCCATTTTCTGTGGCCGTTTGCGGTTCGGTACGCGGCGCATCAGATCAACCTTGAGCCCCGGGTCTCCATGCCGGAGACCTCCCCTGCTTTGCTGTGGACGGGGAAGGTTGGCGATGCGTCTGCGTTCCGTGTCTGGGGATCTCGGGCGTTTGTCCGCGACTTGTCTGCGGA